GTCTGATAAGAGTCTACCTACTTTTTTTTGGTCTTGTGAAGATTGAAAAGTTAGTTTAATAGGGGATTGTGTTGTTTGGTTTGAAATGAGGATTTATAAAGCTTTTTATCCAACTTAGCTATAAACAAACAAGTCACATAAATGGAAACCTTTCACTTAAAATGATCAGTGTGGCCGCCACACTGATGTGAAATTGCTCATCCTCCCCCTGATGAGTCGTGCCTTTCATCTTTTATTGAGTCCTAAAAGACACATGTTCAATTCCCAATTCCTCAGCAAGTGTTGGCCAATTATTGTTTGTCTGTTGCAAAGTTCCTGTAAAGATCAACACAAGTGCCACATCTGAGGGGCTTAATGTCTTTTTCTTCTCACAGCTCCCTTTGTGAATCTCTAAATAGGCATTCCAACTCAGATGATCTTATAGAAAACAAAAACTGGACAGGAGTTTGTGACCTGTGGTAGGTTTTGGTCTGTGTTTTGGGCTTTTTTGGAACTGGAAAATTCACTATTGTTCATAACATAACCTGTTCACTGACCACTACAAAACGATCGCGGGGGATCTCAGTCATTGGACAACAAACACACAAAGAAGACACAGGGAAAAAGGCGAAAGGACATATTTTACTGAATGTTTCTGGAAAATAATCTCCCTTCTTTCCCGCGTGAATCAGATTATTTTCAGTTCTTTTTTCATAACTTTTTATTATGATTTACCTTTTTCTCCTTATTGTCAAATTTTCAAAAGCAGTCGGTCATACAGCTGACACCCCCTTTCTGGTTCCCACAACTGCAGCTTTACGACGCTGCACAATTTGAGTTGTTTAGACTCAACGAAGAAAAAACAGTGTATTCAAGTATAGTTTCCTATTGGGGCAATAAACTGTCTAGACAGCACTCCCCTCTTTTTCACCTTCAGCCAGCCCCCTTAAAGGGCATTTGTTTATCTGAGTATATTGGCTGTCTTTGTCTCCTACTTATCAGCTGTGGCATTATATAACACTTGATTAAGCATTTTAGCCTGAAAAAACACAGAAAACAGGCCAGTCCCTGAAACTGAACATATAAAAGTTTTTTCACGTCACTTTTGTCTCTAAATGAAAGAGTTAATTCTCTTAAATTACGGATTTCGTTATCAGCTGACCAATGATTTTAAGTAGTGTAAAGTAAAAATATCAATCTAATTTTCATTCAGTCATCAGAACGGCCTCTTTTACCTCTTTTTTAAAGACAGAGAAATCGAATAATTCTCAATATTTCACATATTAACCGAAGTTTTGTTGCATTATTAGTTGTTTCCATGTCAGATGACTCCGATTTAATTCATCCATCCATTTTCTAGACAGCTTATTCCCAAAGAGGTTGTGATGGTACACCCTGGACAGGTCGCCAGTCCATCACCGGGGCACACAGAGACAAAAAAACACTTATCATTTAAAGTATGTCCTCCTTTCATGGTGGTGTTTAAGTTCATCAAAAATTATGATGTGCGACCCATGCTGTTTAGCTCATTTCTGTGTTGTTTTTTTTACAATAACCATATATTAATCTTTCATTTGAACACTTTTTTACCCTTTACACTTCTGATGACTGTGAAGGATTTTCTTTTTCTGAACACCAGGAGGAGTATTAGGGGGGGAATAAGAACAATTCAGCTCCATCAGGACATACTCAATATTCCTCCTTTCAGACATCAGTCCAAAATCCATGTTTCCCACTCCTCACAGATTAGTGAACTTATCAATGTATAAAGAGTAGATTTTGCTTTGTATTCCTTTCTTATGTGGCATTTCAAAAACAAATTCCAGACTATCTATGATAATCACCAACTGATTAAAGTTGTTATATACGGCCGTGTGTCCTGCACAACTACAGTCATAATAGTGCTGAGTATAGTAACATTGATTTTATTGACATTAAACCTATCAGGATCTTTATCTTGCTGCTTAAGGTACAAAAATTGTGTGTGGTCCTTAGCGTTTACAATTACAGCACTTTGATCACAAAACACATATTGATATGTCCTTTATGTTCGCATGTGTTGTTTCACAACCATATTAATCAAGAACCAAATATATATTTTCTCCAATATAGCTAATCTTTGACTAGATTATTGTAGTTTTTGCTTTTTTCTATTGCAGCAAAAACTACTTTCAATGATAGTGATATAGTGATATATATATACATATATATATTAGAAAAAAGAAATGCACACTGTTGATGCTATCAAACAGTCATTTTTTCAAGTCATTTTATGTTTGACGCATTCATTTCTTGCCATAACGTAATACTGAATGATTCCAATGAAGACCTTAAAGTCTCTTATGTAAAAATAATAATCATAATCATCATCATAGTAATCATAATTGGGATAATAATAGCAATCTACTTTGGTGTTTCATTTTTAAATTCTGTCTAGCTTCTGTTCTCCGTTGTGTTACATTATATTTTTATGACCACAGAAAAGAGAGAGAAGTTGGGATGTTTTTGACCCTGCCTCCATCCCACACTCTGTCCACTAGCGTGCCTCCTCCCGCCCCCTTCGGCCACACCGCTCCGCTCATCAATAGGGAAGGGGGTATTTGAATAATGTGTGAGCACTTGGGGACTGGAGCCAATCAGGTGTCGGGGGCTCGTGATAAATCGCAATGCATTATCGATAATAATAATTGCGTTGACATGCGCATTTCTACTTCAGGGGGGACTAATTTTCCCGGCCGAAGAATTTTGTTAAAGAAGGGAAGGGAAAATTGTCCGTGACTCTTTGCTCCCGATGGTTGCACCATGTCGAGGCGCAAGCAAGCCAAGCCGCAACACATCAACTCTGACGAGCCCGGTTCAATAGAGGGTGGTAAGTTTTTACGCACAGTGGAAGTTTTACGCGTGGCCGTGCCACGCCGCTTTTTAAACTATCGTTATTTGATCTGAAACTTTAGGGGGGGGGGGGCTGATTTTAACATTGTTCTGCCGCACTTTGACCTGTTGCTTGCGCCTTTTGACTTGGCTAGGGGATAAACTTAGCCTCTGTGCCGGGAAGCTACACGTTGGCAAACTATTTTTGAACGCATACAGGTGCTCCGTTAAAAAAAAATTCCACTGTACGCTTTCACGTATTCTGAGCACTTTTTTAAACACGTTGTATGCAGTAAAATTTGAAAAAAAAGATTACAAACAAGATAAATTCACAGATAAAACGTTTGGGGTTTAAGTTGTTTAGTGAACAGGAGAAAAGCCAAAATACTTTTGAATTAACTGATGCTTGTTTCTACATAATGTATCCACTTTTCCTGTTGCAATGTAGACTTGTCTACAATTGTGTCGTGTCTGGAGAGCTGTACACGACTGCATAGAGTGGCCTGTAAGAATTTGTCTTTAATGAATGCATCACTACCCTCTTTGAATTGCGAAACGTATTTCATCATCATGGAATATGTTTGTGCGTAAAACGAGAGATTCGTCAGGCACTGCCGGTTCATATTCGCTCTTGTATAGTAAATATGCATGTCGGGTTAATTGTGTTCTTCAAATGGAAACTTCAAATGAAAGTTTCTTTAGTTGTGGCGTCCCTGATTTGTGATGATATATATATTCTTTTTGTTGTAAGCGCGCTCATAGATTGAGGTCTCAAACAAAGGTATCCCAAAACTGTATGAAATGTGACTCTGGGGTAAGCTGACCTAAAGGCAATAAATCCCCCAGTTTAATGCATGACTGTTTCCTTTAGTACATATGTGGCGAGGTGGGGGATGGAACAGTCGCCCTTTCGTAGAGACTGGGTGGGGGTGCAATTTGGTGTTGCCATATGCATGCTCCTGTTCGATCACTGACTTCACCGGTTTTGTCATTAGAAAAAGTTAAGAGAAAACGATGCTGGAGGAGTTTCGGTGTTTTTCTGATCTCGTACCTGCTGGTTTTTAGAATGTTGTGAGCCACAGGTTCCGTTTCTGATTCAATGCACCGCGCATATATTAAATGCCCAATCTGACCTCGTGTCATATCTCTGTAAATGTGATCGGATACAGGTCATGCGCCGTCAAGTGGCAAATGAGTGGTCTGCCCCAAGAATGTAGAGAAGTTGAAATTGCAGATTTTAAATGCATTTTATTTCAGGTTAGATTGTGTTTTTATATGAAAGGCTTCTGCGTTAAGATTGGTCGTATAGTGTGTGGTGCGTAAAAAACGCATGGCAGGATCACTTTTAGTTTCCTCTGGAATTTGATTGTTTTGCTGTTAACTTTTTTCGTGACATCGCTTCATTGCCTCCTGGTGAGTAATTAACAGGGCCAAAAGTTTCTTTGGGCAAATGCAAACAGGTGGTCTCCCCCTTTCTCTAAGGCATTTGCATTTAACAATACACCCAGTTGTGAAATGGCCTCTTGGTTAGCCGACTATTTACATTTGTACAAATGAAGCTGCCCAAATCCATAGACTTAAATCCATTGTAAACCTCAACTTTTTTCCTTTTTGTACCTGGATATCAACATAATTGAAATTATATTTTTGTGTAAAAAAAAAAGACATTAACTTTTTATTTGTTTTGAACAAATTCCCTCCAGTTTTGGCACAAAAAAAGTCAGATTTGTATTCATACCTTTTTGTAAGTGAATATTTTTCTATTCAGCGCCTGGTAAATTACATTTTGGACATTGTTCTGAGTTATTTCAAAGGTTGATGGTTGCCCTCTGCTGGTCTTGTGGACAATTGGGGGAAATTCAGAGTTTTACAACCTGCAGTGAACCCTGAATAATGGGAAAAATACCGTTCAAAAGTAAATGTCTTACCAATTAACAAATTGAAACAAAGTCTGCACGAATTAGGCATGAAATTGGATTTAAGATTTCAAAATATAGGATTGACATTTTATGATTTTAACCGTTTTGATTTTCAAATTGTTCCGAACTGTGACTACATGAGCCAGCCAAGGCTGTCCACTTACATTTCAAAGTAACCAATGTATTATTTGGTTAAATATCCATCAGTACCTGAAGAGCATTTGTGTAAACTTGCCATTTTCTTTTATTCAAGGTATTCCCCGAGATGATGAAGCTGAGGAGACGGGGAACGATGTGAAGAGGTTGAGAATGGATGAGACCAGAGTCTGCAACAAGTGTTGTGCCGAATACTTTGATGAGGCAGAATTTCTTGAGCATGAGAAAACTTGCACTAAAAGTCAGCAAGTGGTCATCATGAAAGGCAGAGATGGGAATGAAATGCCAGAGGAATATTCGCAGGGTTCTCCCGAAGGTCTCCACAGCGATCATGACGATAGCCGGTCCAGCAATCTTTCCAACGCAGACCAGCTGGACAGAACGGAGGAAGAGTCCAGTATCAACGCCGAGGACTCGGGACACCAGGACCAGATGTCTGCAAGCTCTGAGATGGCTTTCCAACCGTCGCCTAAAAGACACGATTCAAACGTCACTCTTGAAACCATGCCTGATACCAAAGTGGCTGTCTCCCAACATTCTTCGAATACCTCTGTGTCGTCACCACAGGATGCCCTTCAGGCCATTCCAATTATCTTGGAACAGCTAGTGTGCCTTCAGCAACAGCAGCTACAACAAATCCAGCTCACAGAGCAGATTAGAATCCAGGTAGCCATGATGACCCCACAGAGTTTACAGTCATCTGTAGGGGTGGCAATGGACCCTCTGAAAGCCCTTGGTGCGCATCTCTCTCAACAGCTGTCTGCTGCTGCAGCTCTGATCGGGAAGAGGACTGGTAGTCAGAGCCTCTCTATGGAGGCCATAAAGCAAGGTAAACTACCTCTAACTGCTGGCATCCCGTCCTCTCTGAACGGAGGACTGGGAGCAATTGCATCAAAAAATGACATTTTAAAGGGTGTTCCAGATCTAGCCAGCCGTTTACCAGCGCTACTGCCCCAGTCCCCGGGTGTCATTGGGTTTCCCACCAATTTCAATGGTATCCAAGCTGGGATTGAGTCTTCAAAAAAACTGAAGACAAAGATGATGGCAATCCCACCAGATTCAAAGAATGTGGAATCACTGTACAAGCACAAGTGTAAATACTGTGGAAAGACCTTTGGCAATGACAGTGCCCTCCAGATTCACCTACGTTCTCACACTGGTGAGAGGCCTTTCAAGTGTAACATCTGTGGAAACCGTTTCACAACCAAAGGAAACCTTAAAGTTCATTTCCAGAGGCATAAAGACAAATATCCTAACATCAGCATGAATCCTCATCCTGTACCAGAGCACCTTGACAATATTCCCACCAGCACTGGCATTCCCTTTGGCATGTCCGTGCCCATGGAAGAGTCTAATATGACTGATATGAAGCCTGTACTGGGTCATCCAGCTGCTCCGTTCAACCAATCCATACCAGGATTCAAGACAAATTTTGATGGTTTTACAAGTGACCCATTTTCCCAGAGGCCTTCCCCATCGACAAGTGATGGCTCCCCATCTGTCCCTTCGGTGTTTACCCATGAAACTGGACTGGATCCAAGTCAGAAGGATGCTAAAGAAATGCTTGGGGTGCTGCATCACATGAATGGTAGTTCTTTTTCAGGAGAATCAAGTTCCGGAACGGTAAAACTTCAACAGATGGTGGATGGCCTTGAAAAGAGAACCAACGATCCCAATGAGTGTGTAATCTGCCATAGAGTGCTGAGCTGCCAGAGTTCGCTCAAAATGCATTACCGCACACACACTGGCGAGAGGCCCTACAAGTGCAAAATCTGTGGCCGTGCATTCTCCACAAAAGGTAACCTCAAAGCCCACTACGGAGTCCACAGAGCTAACACTCCCCTTAAAATGCAACATTCATGCCCAATCTGCCAGAAGAAGTTCACAAATGCTGTGGTACTGCAGCAGCACATTCGCATGCACATGGGAGGGCAGATCCCCAACACCCCGATGCCAGAAAACCAGTTTGAGGCAGCTGACGCGATGGAGCCATCTCCACTCGAGGACAAGCAGATGGACATCAATGGTTTTGAAGCGGGCATGGACGATCACGAGGCAGAGCTGAACACCCATAAGCCTAACGACTCCTCGAGTTTACTTCGACCTGCCTCTGAGGAGCCGCAACAAAAGCCTGCAGCCCCTGTTGTGTTTTCCAGCCTAGACGTTCTGAAGAATCTCACCTCCGCTCTTGCACTGAAACGACAGACGAGCACTGCTTCAGAGAGCGAGGGAGCGTCCAAAGAACCTCCTCCGGCTCAGAAGGAGCAGGAAAATCAGAATGGCTGCAGTCCAGCTGTTTCTGATTCAGCCGTGTCTTGTCACTCCTCTTCTCCGGTTAACAATAATGCCAAGTCCCCCGAGTCGGCCATTGATGAAATTGCCTTTAGCGGGTCGAAACGGGAATCCGAAGGTGCACAAGATGGCAGCGAGTCAATTGGGGCCCTTGACCTGACTGCTTCCAGCAGCTTCCCCACCAAGGTGATTAAAGAAGAACCTGGCGTTCCCTGTGCAAATGGAGAATACGGTGAGTTTAATAGCTCGGGGAAAGTATGCGAAAGGCTTTCTTAGTGAATGCACGAGTCCAATCTATTTCACCTGTTGCATCAACAGGTCCCAGCACCATACCTTTCATGAAGATACCACCAAGTCTGGGAAATTTGGAGATGAAGATAGCTCCGGAAAACCCAATGGGTCCTCACGGTTTGTTAAGCTCCCACATGCCTCAAGGAACAGCCATGCCATCCTCCATCTCCTCTGCTCCACGGAGATCGACCAAGCAGCACGTGTGTAACGCCTGTGGCAAGAATTTCTCGTCTGCCAGTGCCTTGCAGATCCACGAGCGCACTCATACAGGGGAAAAGCCTTTTGCTTGCAACATCTGTGGCAGGGCTTTCACTACAAAGGGAAATCTCAAGGTAAGTTTTTTTTTTTTTTTTTTTTTTGCTCGATATTGCAATTTTGACTAATATTAATTTTGAGTGCTGAACTTGTGACATCATTTAATGTGCAATTTCATTTCTTTTTTTGTTCCTAAAGGTGCATATCGGGACTCACATGTGGAACAACTCAGCCCGCCGTGGCCAGCGTCTGTCTCTGGACAATCCCATGGCGCTAATGGCGATTAACTCCGAGGCGAAGATGCTGCCTGAAATCATGCAGGCGCCCAAAGAGCTGAGCGTACCGTCGGTGAACTTTGACCCGTCTCTGTGGAACCAATACGCGGCGGCGTTCAGCGGCGGCCTGACCATGAAGACCAATGAAATTTCCGTCATCCAGGGAGGTGGCATACCGCTCCCCGGGAGTCCTGCTGGTGGGCCTCTGATCGGATCCACCGGAGGTCTCATGAAGATGGATGGCTCCCATGCTGGTTTGCCTGCTGCAATGGCTGAAACGGAGAAGAATAACTCAGATAGTGTGCCAAAGTCACAGTTCCCACATTTCATGGAGGAGGGTAAAATTGCAGTTAATTGAGTTTTTTTTCTTTTTTTTCTCTCTTTTGTAACCATCAGGTAATGACCTCATTTCGTGAATGCCTCCCCTTTTTTTTTCAATGAGGTACAATCAATATTGAGAGAAAACCATATAGAATTCCACTTAGATTGGTTGTTTTTTTCCAAGTAACTCCACTGAAGCTCCCTGCCTTCCTAATCTATTTGATTCTCAAGTGTTATGATTAGTTGAACTTGATTATAACTACTGTAGTTGTATTTTATTTTATATGAATATATATATATGCGGGTATTTTTTCTTTCATTACCTTTTTTTTCTTTTTTTTTTTCTCCTATGACCTTTTTTTATTTTGCTGTTTATCCAGAGGTTTGAATGTAAAACTTACTTGAAACTGCTCTAACTCAAACTGTCTCCTTGATAACTGAAGAATTTTGACTAGGACAAAGTTTTAGGGCATGACTTTTGAGGGCACCAATTGGACTGGTCAAGATACAGTCTTAGTTTTTCAGAAATTATGTTCTAGTATATATCTGTGAAGACTACTCTCCCTCCTGTTGTGTGCTGCAGGTTTTTATGACATTGTATATTTCTATGTTGTGGTAAAGTTCATTAACGTTGCTCATTTTGAAAAGGCTGTTGATCAGATTATTCCATTGTCTTACATTTTAAATCAAAAGTGCTACAGTTCAGTTTTAGATTCTGTGGATTACAATGTGTTGGTGTATACAGTAGTTGATCACGCATAACAGTTTTTTTTTTTTAACCAAGTGCCTAATCTGAATTAAACATATTGCATTTCAGGTAGTTCCAAAAGCTTTGTTCGACTGAAAAAATGGTGTTCTCCCCTTTAGTGCAGCATGCTTTTCAGATGTTCTTTGTTTCCTTCATAGTTTACTCAAGTCTTTTTCTGCACCACCTCCATATTCCTCATTTAGTTGGCTGAGCTCACAGAGCTAATTTAATGCTCAATGCTCTCAGGCCTGCACTTTATTTCACGTTTTAGTTGCATATACATTTTACTGCTCTTACTGAATTGGCAAAATGGGGAGAGGACAAATCAACAATTTTGACTGCTTCTTACTCTTTGCCTCAAACGACTCTTCAATTGCCAGGCTGTGCTCTTGAGTTTTTGCTATATCGTCTTGGTTATGTTATCAACTTGTAGCGACATTAATTTATTTATGATACACAAGTGCTTGAGTTTAGAGGGTAAGTTCTACCTCGTTTAGCTTTTAGTTTTCCCCCCAGTGCTCCTCACTCAATGCAAATGTTCTTGTACATGTTTCCGATACATTCGTTTTCATTCATTTTTCTTTTGTGTAAGATGAAAGATTTTTCACTCTCAACCTGCTGAGTTGGAACAGTAATGAATGTATCACTGGACACTTTACACAACTCAGACTGGTCCGAGTACTTATAGGCTCCTGCTGTTCATTCCTGTGTCAATATGCATTTGCCAAGTTGTGCCTTTTTTTTCCGCAAACCATGTCAAAACTGCTTTGAAGTTTTTCTCCACAGTTCAAGTAACGTTGAGCCAATTTGATCTGTTTACATTGTAAATGTGTTTTTGTGTTATTTGTTGTTGTTTTTTTGCTTTTTCCAAAAAGTTTCTTTCAGCTAAATGTTTTCTGATTTTTGAAAATAAAATCAGGGTGAATTGTTTTTTTTTCGACCATGCTTCCTGTCATTACTTTTGATAACCTAGCCTGTTTAGAAAGTGTTATACCAACTGTGCTAGCACTGAGATTTACCTTAAATTTTCCCAATACTACCTTTCATTTCCGTCAATACAAATCACAGCATTTCAATTTGTTCACCTTCAGCTAACCACTAACATCTTTATATTCACATTTCAGGAGCCATTAATCCCATGGCATTTTGCATTCTCAACGAAAATGTATTTGCATTCACTACTGAAGCATGCTCTCAAATCGTGTCTGCAATCCATTTCATGTCAACTGTCTATTAGCCACTTCCTTGCCAATTTTGTACTGATGTAGTACTTTACATACTAGGATTAAAGTCGTCTCAACCTCTAGGCAACCTCCAAGTTAGCATAAATTAGGAAAAGCCTGTAAAGGGATTCAAACATTAAGGTTTTGTTGACACCTGCTAATGTAATGGATGTCTTAACTTTCGCACGAGTGGTTTGACTAGTTTGTCATGGTCAACAAACTTAGTCAGGCATATTAAAAAAATACAAATGCACATCACCAGGAAGCATAAAGTAGACCACATGAATATAAACGATTACCAGATTCTATGCATCGTTGAAACACAGGATAGAATCATGAAATCTAATACTTATTTTCATAGAGGTGGTCACCACAAATCATAATAACGACTGCTGTGTCTCTGACTATGTCACAGAGTGAGGTCAAAGTTGTGGCATGCAAATGACCATTATAGGGATTTCTCATTATACAAATGGTACATTTTGCTACACTCGTGTACAATAGCCCACATCTCAAAAAATGCTTGCACCTGTTTTCTCAGCCTGAGTTTATAGTGTTTAGCAAGTGAGCAGGTAGTGAAGTAACTTACATGTAGGCCATAAATGCACTGGCAATTTATATTATTTTGTGTACTGTCTAGCTTGTACATTTTCTGCCTGGCAGATACAGATAGGACTTAAAGGAAATTAAATTTCTAGTGGAAAATGAAAATTGTAGAATTAGACATGTCATTCTTAATATGTCATTACTGTGTCAATGTTCAGTTATCAACAATTTGAAAAGGATTCATAGCGTTATTGCAGATGACCTACCAAGTTCTCCGTCATTCATCGCTCAAAAATTACAGTATGAAACAAAACATTGCAAATTCCAGGTCTAAATTTCATCAGGCTTCAATCAGGTTTTATATAGATGGTGTATAGAACGTTGTTCAGTGTTAAAACTGGAAGGAAAATGGCCAAATATTGGAACAAAGAAGATATGGATGGCCAAAGAAACTGAAATAGTTAAACAGAGGCTAGAAGGTTTTGTGAGAAATAGACTCCAAGGAAGGGTTGTGTGGTTGGTAGGGCTGGACTCTATCCCAGCTGACAAAGGGAAGACACGGGGCACACCTTGGACAGGTCCAGTCCGTGGCAGGGCCACACAGAGACAAACAACCACACACACTCACTTTAATTCCTAGGGGACATTTTGGAGTGTCCAAATAACCTAACATGCTTGTTTTTGGATGGTGGGAGGAGGCTGGTTTTCTAAATTAGACAACGGCTCAAAGGCAGGGTAAAAGGTCCTTTTCGATGATGAATCATATTCTGTGCCTGGACTTAGACATTAATAAAGCAGTTTAGGATTAAAAAAAACAAAACATGGAACAAAAGGCAACCTAGATCAAAATGAAGACGACTGGAAATATTCCTTCAGACTATTTTAAGAAACAATGTATCGAAGTAGTGCCAAATAATAAAGCTGTTCATATAACTTACTGACCTTTAAGCAAGTTACTACTGTATGAAATCTGTTTTGACCTTTTTTATAAATTGCTTAATATATTTTGGCGGAGAAGCGGAATACAGAAAAAGCCTTCTTGAAACATAGATGGCAAAACAACTGTCAAATATTTCTATGAAAAAACAGATAAAGATGTTTTGGTAGTTTTCCATGTACATGTCATTTTCCATTACGTTTTGTATTATTTGTTTTGACTAATTACATTTTTACTTTGATTTGTTTGCTAATGCACTGGTTATGCTTCAGATAACCTTGCTGGCTTCGAAACATCGTTGGCTTTTTATATTACTTTTTTGAGTTGGAGATTTATTCATCAAACTGCTTGATGTTGGACACCATTGAATGGTGTTAGAATAAAAAGATAAAGTGATATAAATGATGTGGCTATGAGTTAAATGTGTTGAAATATTAGACACCTGTCAAGGTTGTGTTCATAAGTTTTGCTATATGAAAACCCCATTCTCTCCTACTGCTTCTACATTAACCGCCAGAAATTCAAATTAACATTCACAATAGCTTATTCATTCGAAGCTATTTGAAGTCATACTACGTATAAAAGCGTTTAAAGTTGTTTTTTCCGTTCTCCAAGAAACACCTTAGAGATAAACGCGAATACATGCGAGCAACAATTTCTGTGTGGGATTTCTGTTCCCGACAGCACCGCTAACTGTTCAACGGTCCTCCTGTGTGAGTGACAGCCGGTAGCCTCCGCCCAGGCCAGAACCGTTTCAGCCGGGCTGCCTGCCTCCTGCTTTTACCCGCAACCAGGGGGTTGAAGGAATGGCCGATAACATCCCTCTTCAACCCGTGAGGCGACCAAAAAGACACGACAATAAAAACAGAAATGGGTAAGGGTGTGTACTAGCGCAGGAATGTTGCTACAAAGCCATTTGTTTGTGTCTTCCAAGTCCATTTGTTCTTGTTTTTTGTGTGTGTGGCAGTTAGTGTTTAAGGCGAGCTGTCGACATTGTCACAGCTAAACGAAGATAGGCTTTCTTGAGATTAAAACAAACAAACGACTAGTATACGTAAACATAGTCATACATATGACTATGCTATTCGTTGTAGCTTTAAATAGCTAACGTTAGCCACAAGTATATGAGACATCCTTGTTCCGGGGTGCAGTTGTAGCAAGTGCATTTGACGCCCATGCCAATATTTGCTCGGGTTTGCCCAGTTTGTCCTAGCTAAGATCACTCGTAGATTTATTTGATTACACTCAAATGACACAGTCATATGTGTAAATGCTAGCTCGATCATTTCATCCTAGTTATTTTCACCAGTATATAAGGGATCGGCCTCTTAAACAATGATATAGGGGCTGAATTGCAGCTAGCAAACTCAATGCTGTTCTGGTGATGTCACATTATGAGTAGACACAAAGTACAAGGGTTTTAGAGCTATATATAATGCAGAGGATGGTCTGTCAAAAACTGACAGCTGATGAAGGAATATATAGCAGAAAGCGCTGTAATTCGTACACAAGATGAATGCCACCTATCAATGTCCATCCTTACACATGATAAAGCAAAGAAATGAAAGGTTTATGTGAACAAAATACAGAAAAAGAGACATATGAGCTAAATGTGAAGTTTCTAAAGCAGAATACATTGTAACAACATAGCATTTTTAGGTAAAATGGAAAAATTAGGATGAGTTCAAGTTGTAAAAGTCCTACAAACCGCTTGGAGGTTGGTCCATTTAGCTGTTTAGCAATATGGGCATTTTTTTGTATTTGGAGAGAGGCCATTGTCAAAGAGTTACAACAATATGACATTGTTTCTTCCAAACATCCTTTTTCTGTACCGTCTTTTTCCAAGTTAGGCTCAGTTGGCAGAAAAGCAGGGTACATTATGTCAACCATGCATGGTCAGGCTCACATTCATTCCCAAAGTTAATGATGCCACATACAGTATGTATATTTTTTAAGAAGTGGGGGGATGGAAAGAGAACTTTTTGCATTCCAAAGTGTCCCAAATCCATGTTTTCTGGCCATTTTCTTTCTTTATCAAATTCAGAATCATGCCACTTTGGCTCTATTTGCTTTGCAGGACTTCATGCTCAAATCAGATTATTTTCTAACACCCCTGTTTTTTGTGATTGTTAACAATATGAACAATGAATTGACCAACTTGCACAGAGTAAGACCGGACATAACATGCAAAGTGTCAAAACAGATGATAGACATGTCAGAGGGGTGTGTATCAGTTCTGAAGTTGTTGCAATCCAAGCTGACAAGCTAAGTTCATTTTGCCCATTCGTAGCTTCTTGCCTCCTCTGGCACAGAATTGTGCCATCTCTCCCACTTCAGTGATGTAAAAGTCAGATGAAATGCGTCATGACAGTTCAGACAAAGGTTGCTTTGAAAAACATCAGACGTATTCAATTAAGGGCCATATACGAAAGTGGCCTTAGTCCACTTTTATAGGGATTGTACAATATAGAATACAACAATAGACCCTACAATCAACAATACTTCAGTTATGGTCTACAGATTTATATAAAGGAAATCTTAAAATGTTAAAACTTGTTAAAACATGTTAAATTTTCTCTCTAACTTATACCAGCTAACATTGTACAGGTCTCCAACTAAGAACGAACACAACTTTCATATTACTGTCCAAGCTCACTCCACCATCTCTTATTGGCTGTTGCAAACCAGAAAGTTTAAGCCTGTGGTTCAACAGATTTGCTATTTCTCGAGCGTATATTTCAGTTCTTCTGTAGCAAAGAATATACTCGCACATTGTTGGAAACAAAGAATCCAACTTCCTTCAACTTCCAACAATGCTCCGGATAACTGCCCTTGACTTTAAAATAGGCTTTTACAGCTTCACAGCATGTCTCAGTGGATCTTTCTGAACTACTAGGTTCAGCTGAGGATTCTGTTTTCTTAAATAATAAATAACAGTAAATTTATTTTAGAAACTTAGGCATATAATTACATATGAATGAGGAGTATCTGTGATTTTCAGTGTTTTTGAGAGCAGCTAATGGGGATTGTCTGGTTTCAGATCTTCAGCAAAGAGCCTAAAACCCCTCCAAATCCCCGGAATAGTTCTTTATATTAAAGCCTGGCATTACTATTTTCTCAGTGACCAATGAACTTGTCATGAGCTATGTAGTGGAACAGACCAGTTTATAATCAGTGAACTATTATTCACATTGGAGAACTGATTCACCTGTAAAAGTTACATTTTTGTTTACAGTCAATAAGCAATAATTAACACATTAACCAAGAAATGCTTCACAACATTTAGAAAGAATGGGAGCCATGGGAGTTATTGCAACATTATCCTGAATGTGTGAATACACATCTAATTTTCTAAGTAATGTTTCAAGTGATTTATACTGAACCAAACAATGCGATTTCATGTGAACCAGCTTAACCTGACACTCCCTTTTGCAATTAGGTGCTGCCCATGGTCAAGATGCTGTGGCATGGGAGATTTCCGTCCCCGAACCGTGTGGCTTGGTCACCCTGAAAAGAGGGAGCAGAGGTACCCGAAGAATGTCATTAACAACCAGAAGTACAACTTATTCACCTTCCTTCCTGGGGTCAGTGTTAGTTGAAGGTCTCTTGTTCATCATCCCTTGGTTTAATCTTCAACCTTCTGTCTACCTCTTTCAGCATGTTTGATACATTTCTAAAAAAATTTAATCCTCTCGTAACCTACCTTCTTTTGACTGTTTTAATATAAATTGTGAAAATATGGATGTTTATTGTATATTTAAAGTTGCAGGTGGTCAGGGACTCAGGTAAGACCTGCATCCAATTGCTATTGGATGCACTTGAATAACTTAGGTGAGAAATGGCTAGCCTAAAGATTACTTTGATATGATGAAATGCAAGTGCTATTACAGTTACGTGTGGAGTCTTGAAATCATTTGTCTGTTTACTTTTTTGTTTGTGTGTTGCGTATTACAGTCGCAAACCCACAAAACAAGGTGTGGCTTGTCTCAAGTGCCTCAATTGCCTAGAACAATGTATGAGAGAAAATAGTTTCAATAAAAACACAGATTAACGTTTCTCCAACAACTGGCCAAGACAAAGACAGCAAAAATTGTAAGGAGGAAGGAAGTTATGTTATAATAACACATGAAAACTTTGCATACTTACATTATTGTCATAGTGATGAGAAATGTAATATTGTGTCTTCTCTGTAAGTCGCTTTGGATAAAAGCGTCTGCCAAATGCATAAACATAAACATAAGTAAGCTTGCATACTTACTTTGCTTACTTATCTTATATTAAAAAGTCAGCTCAACTGGGGATCATCAGATGTGCACAGGCTATATTTTAGTTGTTGCTTTGCACTAAAGTTTGATTTGTGAATTTATTTTTTCAGTTTACAGCTCATAGATAAAATTAACACTTCAGTATTTTGTAAAGTAAACATCAATATATCATACAATTCAAATATGTTAAGGCTGTTTTTATACACGTATTTAAAACAAATGTTGTAGGCCATCTAGCATAAAATAGCTCATTAAATCCATTCATAACAAGTGCATGTTGACTCTAGAGAGGCTTGATAGTCATCTCAGCTATACTGTATTTGAACATGAGCACATGAGCAGCGAAGCTGCTGTGTGTGATAATGGAATTTTCCCCTCCTTATTTACATATTCATTTGCTTTCTGGGTATCCAGCTGTCTTAAGATCTTTTTTTTTTCTTTTTTTGTTTATGCAGCCAGACATTGAAAGTAGCTCCAATTTGTTTGGAAAGCAAAAGACAAAAGCAAGGACTTTTTGCATTGCAAATTGGGATGCTCTTTATTCTTCGGTGTATGTCAAGAAGTATTTATCTGGAGCAAACAAAGATTTATGTTTCTGAGGATGGCTATGTGGAGACACGGGTTTATCCCAGAGTAATCTCACATGGTGGTGGTAATGAAAGTAAGCAAAGTTTAAGTATATGTGTTAAATTTGACTGTCGCTGACAGATGTGCAGCACACAATGTTTTGTCTGTAAAAATGTTTGTTCCTTTTGGATAAAGGCATTTAATATAATGGGAAATGATAAACGTTTGGTTTATCGTCAAATTGCAGTCATATAAAAGTTTTTTTTCCTGGCCATGGAACACTGGACCAGCACTATACCCTCAACAGGGTCCTGGAGGGTATATGAGTTCGCCCAACCAGTTCACATGTGTTTGGTTAACTTGGAGGAGGCATTCGACGGTGTCCCTCTGGGAAAACCTGTGCGGGGTGCTCCCGAAGTGTGGGATACCAGGCCCTTTGTTCCGGCCTTTTAGGTCCCTGTACGACCGGTGTCAGAGCTTGGTTCGCATTGCCGGTTGTAAGTCGATTCTGTCCATAATTTTATGGACAGAATTTCTAGGCGCAGCCAAGATGTTGAAGGTATCGGTCTTGTTGGCCTTAGGATTGCATCTCTGCTTTTTAAAGATGATGTTGTCTTATTGGTTTCATCAAGTCGTGATCTACAGCGCTCACTGGTTCAAAACCGGGATGAGGATCAGTGCCTCCTAATCCGAGGCCGTAGTCTTGCACCGGAAAAGGGTAGAGTGCCTTCTCCGGGTCAGGGGGGATGTCCTTCCCCATGAGGAGGAGTTCAAGTATCTTGGGATCTTGTTCACAAATGGGGGTAAAATAGAGCGGGAGATCAACAGGCGGACCGGAGCAGTGATGTGGGCACTGTACTTGTCTGTCGTGATAAAGAAAGAGCTGAGCCTAAAAGCGAAGCTCTCGATTCATCGGTCGATCTACGTTTCCACCCTCATCAATGATTATGAACTTTGTTTAGTGACCGAAAGAACAAGATCGCACGTACAAGCGGCCGAAATGGGTTTTCTCTGCAGGGTGGCTGGGCTCTCCCTTAGAGATAGGGTGAGAAGCTCAGCCATCCGGAAGGGGCTCGGAGTAGAACCGCTGCTCCTCCACATCGTGAGGAGCCAGTCGAGGTCGCTCGGGCATCTGATCAGGATGCCTCCTGGTTGAGCTGGCAGAAGTGGCAGGCGAGAGGGAAGTCTAGGTTTCCCTGTTCTGGCTGCTGCCCCCGCGATCTCACCCCGGATAAGCGGTGGACAATGGATGAATAGAAAGTGCAACTGCTTGCAGGCTAATGAATCTTTCTTATTCTTTCTCATTAATGAACCTTTCTATTGAGTTTCTTCCACAGGACTTAGTCAGTAAGGATTGGATTCTGGAAATATGTAGAGAACAAAATTACAAATATCTCCCTCTCTCTCATATGTATATATATATACCGGTATATACACACACACACATACAGTAGAACCTTTACCTAAGATTGCCTAAACATATGAATTTTCCAAAATACAAAGTGAAATTCGTTTAAATCGACACCCGAAGTAAATTTCTGACGTACGTCTGGCATCTGTCAGGCCAGCTCAAAACAGGATTCAGGCTAAGAGATTTTGGCAAAAATTAGGGTTTTAATTCAACAAGGCTGCACTTGCAGGGAGCGGAAGGCAAGGCGAAAAGTACAAAATAATAATCACTCGAAATCGAGGATGCAAAAGGCTAATAAATTACCAAATAATACTCACAAAGAGGATGAAAAAACTATGGAGTACAAAAATAATATTCGCTCATACCAGGAAAAACAACGTGGAGATTTGAGGCAAGGATTTCTAAGGCAAGGTTCAAGCACAGTATCATTAGTCGATAGGACGAAACACACTGGCACCAGACAAGGGGAGACGCAGACCATTTAACACCTGAGGGGAAAGGAACCCCAGGTGAACACAATCGGTGATCAGGGAAGACAATCAGACAGGTGACACACAGGGAAGCGCAAGTGACCTGAAAAGTAAACTTTTTCAAAATAAAACAGGAAATGACAAGACAACCATGGAGACAGGACAAAAACCCAACAACGCATGTGACAATGTAGAAGTCATAGAAAAAAAATATAAAAATGTAATAAAAATAAAAACGCTCAGTTAGTTAAAAGTAAGTTACGGTATGTCCTATATCCCAGTCACCACCTGGATTTGTTTTATTGCTATGTCTAATTATCTGCAGTATTTATTAGGGAGTTATTGTAGGTTTTTGAACTAATTATAGGAATTACAGTGTATTCTTATGGGAATATTTGAACCAACATACGAATATTTTAACATACTAAGTAGGTTCCGGAATAAATTAAATTTGTATGTAGAGGTGTATATACATATATATATATATATATATATACAGTGGGGCAAAAAAGTATTTAGTCAGCCACCAATTGTGCAAGTTCTCCCACTTAAAAAGATGACAGATGCCTGTCATTTTCATCATAAGTCAACCTCAATTATGAGAGACAAAATGAGGAAAAAAAATCCAGAAGATCATATTGTCTGATTTTTTAAGAATTTATTTGCAAATTATGGTGGAAAATAAGTATTTGGTCACCTACAAACAAGCAAGATTTCTGGCTCTCACAGACCTGTAACTTCTTCTTCAAGAGGCTCCTCTGTCCCCCACTCGTTACCTGAATTAATGGCACGTGTTTTAACTCGTTATAAGTATAAAAGACCCCTTTCCACAACCTTAAACAGTCACACTCCAAACTCCACTATGGCCAACACCAAAGAGCTGTTGAAGGACACCAGAAACAAAGTTGTAGACCTGCACCGGGCTGGGAAGACTGAATCTCTAATCAGTAAGCAGTTAGGTGTGAAGAAATCAACTGTGGGAGCAATTATTAGAAAATGGAAGACCTACAAGACCACTGGTAATCTCCCTCGATCTGGGGCTCCACGCAAGATCTCACCCCGTGGGGTCAAAATGATCACAAGAACGGTGAGCAAGAATCCCAGAACCACACGGGGGGACCTAGTGAATGACCTGCTGAGAGCTGGGACCAAGGTAACAAAGCCTACCATCAGTAACACACTACGCCGCCAGGGACTCAAATCCTGCAGTGCCAGACGTGTCCCCCTGCTTAAACCAGTCCATCTCCAGGCCCGTCTGAAGTTTGCTAAAGAACATTTGGATGATCCAGAGGAGGATTGGGAGAATCTCCTATGGTCAGATGAAACCAAAATATAACTTTTTGGTAAAAACGCAACTCGCCGTGTTTGGAGGAAGAAGAATGCGGCGTTGCATCCAAAGAACACCATTCCTACTGTGAAGCATGGGGGTGGAAACGTCATGCTTTGGGGCTGTTTTTCTGCAAAGGGACCAGGACGATTGATCCGTGTGAAGGAGAGAATGAATGGGGCCATGTATCGTGATATTTTGAGTGAAAACCTCCTTCCATCAGCAAGGGCACTGAAGATGAAACGTGGCTGGGTCTTTCAGCATGACAATGATCCCAAACACACTGCCCGGGCAACAAAGGAGTGGCTTCGTAAAAAGCATTTCAAGGTCCTGGAGTGGCCTAGCCAGTCTCCAGATCTAAACCCCATAGAAAATCTTTGGAGGGAGTTGAAAGTCCGTGTTGCCCAACGACAGCCCCAAAACATCACTGCTCTAGAAGAGATCTGCATGGAGGAATGGGCCAAAATACCAGCAACTGTGTGTGAGAACCTGGTGAAGACTTATAGAAAACGTTTGACATCTGTCATTGCCAACAACGGGTATATAACAAAGTATTGATATGGACTTTTGTTTTTGACCAAATACTTATTTTCCACCATAATTTGCAAATAAATTCTTAAAAAATCAGAAAATATGATCTTCTGGATTTTTTTTCCTCATTTTGTCTCTCATAGTTGAGGTTGACTTATGATGAAAATGACAGGCATCTGTCATCTTTTTAAGTGGGAGAACTTGCACAATTGGTGGCTGACTAAATACTTTTTTGCCCCACTGTATATAATCAGTAAAAGCTGTTTTTGAAATCTAAATCTTTAAATCTGTATTGTTAAGTAGAATTTTGTTGGAAAAAGATAAGGAATTGCTGTAGACATGTTTTTGGTTCCTCTTAGTAGTCAGAATAGAATTGAACGGTCACACTAGAGTTGGCTTTGTCTGAATTAGTCCATGAGGAGAGCAAAAGAGGCGGAACGCCTTGACCAATAAAGAACACCATCTGGCATGTCCGATGACACAGCATATGGGTTCTCAATCTGGTACAAATAGATCAAGTAACTGATCCATTGCTATGTATTAGGTACTCCTACAGTAACATACCTGCTATTTGCACATTTGTCTCAAGAAAATGATGAGATTAATAATTTCTATAAATATTGTAATTATGTGAAAATATTAGAAGAAGCCACATAAAGTACCTCTACTGAAAGTATCTTTTTTTTCAGAATGTATATGTAGTGGTACTTTAGATGTAGTTAATTGCAGTTGTGTGATTCTGTTGCAATAAAACAAATATTTGAAACTGATTTTCTTTGTGTTTTCAGGTGCTGTTTAATCAGTTCAAGTACTTCTTCAACTTGTACTTTTTGCTTTTGGCCTGCTCTCAATTTGTTGAGGAGTTACGCTTAGGTGCCCTCTACACCTACTGGGTCCCTTTGGTATGTTACATTCCACTAACTGTTAATCATTATGGTTAGTCTACTTAATTTTCCAAACGTTCTCTGTTTTCAGAGCCTATTAACAAAGCTTTTCATAGTGATAAAATCAAGCTCTATAGTGTTGAAATACAAATGTTTTCTCTTTTTTTTGCCTGGAATGGACTTAACTGTGACATTCTTCTCTCTAGGGACTTGTTTTGATCATTACAATCATGAGAGAGGCTATCGAAGAAATAAGATGCTACCTTCGAGACAAAGAAGTTAACTCTCAGATTTACAGCAAGCTTTCAACAAGAGGTAAGAAACAACGGCATGAACCACATGGGTTGCGTTTGCCATAATATCTATGTTACTTATTTCTCTCGATCAGCTTCTTATTAACTGTAGGATGTTGGCCCTATTAAAACTTATTGGGGCTAGGGGAAATGGTGGGTAATTCAAAGCAGAGATGTAAAAGTGTACATAAGAGGCCTTGGTATAAAGTGCTACCAGCAATAAAAAGCAGGAGACCTCTTGTGGTTTCCATCACTTTACTCCTTTGATGTGGCAGCTTGTTTTACCCATAAACACAATGACTGGTTGCCTCCATGATAGTAACCCCGGTAGATATTTTTGCTTTTATTGAAACTTTTTGGTGTCAATATTTAGCGTAATGCTTCTTACTTAGAACTTATTCCACAGCAGAGATATTTACACAAATGGATTGAAAATGCAAAATAAAGTCAGCCGTTTTTGTTCATGCGAGGCTATACTTATTTTGTAAATCTTTTGTAAAATCGTTTTTAAAAAATGTCATTGCATTAGTCAAGCAAAGCACTTCTGCAAAGTCTCATGAATCCTAATGCATAACAATATTGATGTGCTTTAATGTCTCACATATGCAAAGCCTAAAGGTCACAGCACAGTTCAAGGGTCAGTGATCTCTTCCAAACAATTTTGCCTGTTCATTCCATGTGGAATGAGAAAAAAGGCTCAACTCTCCCTGCATTCTTTCAAATCTGCATGCAGAGTTGCCTTTCCAAAATCATACTGGTGACTGGTTAGGCATTCAAACAAAAGCTCACCCCATTTATTTTATAAGTCTTTGATTAAATTAACATGTTTAACTAATTTACAACCAGGCAAACCTGTAAAATGTAATATCTAAAGGATATTTCTAACCATAAGATATTACCTATGTAGTTGACTCTGACTTACTTAAATTTGTTTCAGTATATCTAACCATGAGTTGATAAACAAACTTAATTTGTGTAATTCTTTTTTATTTCAGGCACAGTGAAGGTTAAGAGCAGCGGCATTCAAGTGGGAGATCTTATAATTGTGGAAAAGGTTTGTGAAAGGTTTTGATGAACATCTGTGAATAGTTTTTACCTTTTAGGACTGTCAAGCTTCCATTTATATGACAGCGAGTAATGGAGGAGGGTTGTTAATCATCTGTGCTCCACTGGTGACTGAGGTGGCAGGAGTTTTAAAGATTTTTTTTCTTAAACTTGCGATCAGTGCTGAGCTTCACCCTGTCAGACTTAATACATGTACAAAAGTCAGCTAAAAATGGATTTCAGGTTATTTTGAACAAAAATGCAATTTAATTCAATAGTTGAAAGATTTTCCCCGGTCTTGTTTTTTTATTCTTTTTATTAAAGCTTTGTTTGCATAATTATTCTTAGTTAGGGGCTCTTGAGTTAGTCACCTACTCGGAGGTTTTTGTAATTTAAATGAGTGAGTTCTGTCTTTAGTTTCAAACAGAGGGCTTCTCTCCAAGTCATTCATTTAATTGACTTTTGTGCCGCTGAGATATGTTTTGCTAATATTACTGTGACTCATGTTACGTGAGGAAGATCTTAGAAACCTGAGCTTAAGTTGTCTTTCAGAACTTTTGAATTTACCTACATTTTAAGACATGTAGTAATATAATAATAGCATAATAATGACTGTTTGTGATCATATGAATTTGACTGTTGATAACAGGGTACAAAAAAAGCTCAAAGTTATACTTTTCTACTGTCAAAGATGCAAAGGAAGGAGAGAAAAGTATCTGATTACGATGTTGAGCTCATGTTTTTCTTTCTGCCTCTCTTTGTAGAACCAGCGTGTTCCTGCTGACATGATCTTTTTAAGGACCTCTGAAAGAAATGGTAAACATCTGCTGGTCATTCATCCAAATATCCACATCAGGCTGGCTGGCTAGGGAAATGACTTGTTTAAAAAGGAACTGAGGTGCAGGGATTAACCCTGAGCCAGGACAGGAAGCCCTACAATGTATAAATTGTAAGGGGTTCACTGGTAAATTATCACTCGGGTTACTACTTTCGTGTAGACAAAACATTCCTCTGTCTTGATCATCGTGTGTGACTGATTTTTGGCTTTCAAATGAGAAGATAATGAAAATGAAAAGCAAGGGACACACAAGATCAAATGCAAAGAGAAAACATGAGACAGGAGAGGAGGATACCTCATCTGAATAATCAAATATGGATATTAGCTAACATCCGGCTAGGGACAACGCAAACTTCTCAAAATGTATGCGTTGTATAATGTGTAGTCTTTTTTAGATAAACAATAAACTTAACTGACCCCACCACCTTCCCCCAGTATGAAAAAAGTCAGGGAGTTGGTTTATTTTCAACTTAAAGAAAAACCAAATGTGACTGTTTTTCTTGTTCTTTTTTTTGTTTTTTTTAAGGGGGGGGTAATACTTGTTGTAGGGTATTCCTGTTAGGGAAAGAAAAAACAGTTTTACTGGAATTTATACTTGGTTATCTCTTCCATGTGGAGGCCATAGGTCACTTATGAAGGGCCTAGTCCATGATTGGGAGTTTTGGGTAGGATGACGTTTACAGATTGGGGGAAGGGGTTTTTGAGGATGCCTCCAATTTCTGCCAGCAGTAATATCCATTTAAAGTCACATATTCTCACAAAATGTATCCCACACTAAAGTCACTTTGTATTTCTTTGGTAACTTTTAAAGAATTATTTTAAGACAGAAGAATATAGGACACTGGATGTCCAGCCCTCATAATGCTTTCAAATATAACTTTACTTTATAAAACGTATAGACAAAGCTGAATATAAAAAAGTTGGTAAGTCAGAGGAGGAAAAGGTCATTATTATTTTCATGTCTCATTTCAGTACTGTCAATGTGAATCTGGCTCTTGAACTTTGATGAAAGTGTTCCTGATCCACATCAGACTGTACATAAGGTCTAGAACACTAATTGTTCTTGCCTAACTGTGCTTTTGTGCTGTGCAATGGTCCAAAGTTAACAAAAGTATTATTTTTTTAATGTTTTTTTAATGCAATATATTGTGTGAGGGCCTGGATATTAAAGGTATCCAGCTCAGGCTTCTGCCCTGCATTTCACACACTCAAAAGTTCTTAGAATATTTCAATTACCTTTCTGATTTATTTGTTGACAAATAGGGGACTACCCAATTTTTGTTCCTCAGCATCTTCGTGGATGCTATTTATTTTTGTTACTTTTAGATAATGTTCCAAGAAATACAAAAATGGTCGTGTAACAACAAATGAAGCTGACAAAACATGAAACATTTTAGTAATATGTTCAGTCTTGACTGCAGTTTTAGGGCCTGACTCTCATGCATTGCCATCTAGAGGTGAAAGTTTTTCATCTGGCTTTAGCAATTGTCTTTCTGACCAGGCTCCTGCTTCTTGCGGACTGACCAGCTGGATGGAGAGACGGACTGGAAACTGCGCCTCCCTGTGGCCTGCACCCAGAGGCTGCCAACTGCCGCTGTGAGTCATCACAAAAAGTTGGAGAGGTTTTCAGGATGACGGAAAATAGTCGATAATTACAAGATTGTTGTGTCTTGTCCTTTGTCAGCCGATAAAAACAGGAGAACTTGTGCATGTGCATGCATACTCTGTCCTCAAAGAAACAAGCCTTTCATTTGGACAAAGTGGTCATTTAAGTCAAGTGGTGGGTGGCCTGCACATCAAAGAATGTCAAAACTAAAAGGCTGTAGGGCCACTCCAGGCCTTTACTTTTAGAAGACGTTTGACCAGTTAAACGCAAATTGCATCACAATGCAAACTGCGGAGGAATTCAATTTCAGCGATTATAACCTTTATCTTAACAAAAATGGGGATGATTTGCTAAAAATTACAAGGATAGATCAAAAATAATTCTTCTTTTTTTTATTGAATTAAAGTGATTGTTGATTTTGTCTATCAATAAAAACTAGTTTGCAACTCTTGATAATTTGAGTCAGAGCTCTTTTAAAAAAAGATAAACTAATAAATTGTGAATGTATTTAAGATTTCTTTTATGACTATAGATATATAACAACAAACAAACTATTTAGATAAATATATTAAGATTTTGCGCAGTTGGTCAATTGAAACGAGACACTTGATAATGTTTCCATTAATTATATTAAACTTGTGTACTTGACTGAAGCATCAAGCAGGTTTCACAGTGTGAAATGCAATTCTTGATGAAGCAGTTGTTTCATTTAAACCTTTAACATTTGGGCACCATGAAGTACTTTTCTAACAGCATAGATATTTAGATAGATATTTTGAAACAGCAACTAATCTTAAACGTGCATGTCCTGGCATTCTTTTAACTTGAAGTCATCACTTGGACTTGTGTGACTTACTGTCTCTTTTCTTTCTAATGGCTAACCCTGCTCCTATTGTTGCACAGGACCTTCTCCAAATCCGATCATATGTGTATGCAGAGGAGCCAAACATTGACATCCATAACTTTATTGGGACTTTTACACGGGTGAGTGCTTACAATATATCAAACATATGGAAATGTGCAATTTAGATCTGTAAATAGGTGTCTATACTTAAGAGACATGTGAGGAGCCTAATATTTCTAAAACATTTTACATTTAATTTGAGCACAGCAGCGTTAAGTAAACCATATTTATTTAAGTGAAAAATCTGTTTTTTTCAACGATCTTTTAGATGGATCATATCAGATTTTCTCTTATACTGGATTAGTTAATAAAAAAATGTTAATACGCCCTCCTAAGTTGCTGCAAATATTTGTACTGCAGTAGTATTTTAGCAAACTCTTTGTCTATATTATACATAATTCAATTGTTTGGATGCCTAAATCAGTTGGTAACAAAATGACTTCAAAGAGGAATGGTAGCTACTAAGGAATAGGACAAGAATCTCTATTCAACTTACTTTTTCACTATGATTAATCATATTTTAGATAGACAGCATAGTTACCTCTGAAAATAGATTAAAGTGACACATTATTTAAATGTTTTTATTGTTGTTATTCAGAAAATTTAAAACCCAAACAAGATATTTTGCAAAACGGTACTCTTCAAATGTCCTCCTTTTCTACTTTTCTTTCACCTGATGTAAAAAAAACTGGCAAGAACATACATCTGCAATGCATTTGATATGTATAATACTAAAATGACCAATTAGTATAATCACAGATTAATTGACATCATGATTAATTTTGTACATTTGTCTTTTCAACTGTTACAGGAGGACGGAGACCCACCGGTTAATGAAAGTCTCAGCATTGAGAACACTCTCTGGGCCAGCACTGTTGTTGCTTCTGGTAAATGTCTGACAGGAGGTGTACCCATAAAGCAGCTATTATCCAGAAAGTAGCCAAGACCAGTCTATCCCACTCTGTGGCATTGCCTCCATTGCAACTGCTCTGCTCACAACTTGTCCAACTAAATACACTTAAAAACAATGAAGTAGACAAACACCTCTCATATATAAAAAGCTTTGGGAAAAGTAAGCCATAATTGTAGAAAAAGAGCAGGAGGGTAAATCCGTTTTCACCCACAGGGACATGTGTTCCCAATTATGCAATTAGAAATCTGACATTCTTCATTTGAAAAGACTCTTCATGTTAGGATTTTAAGTCTGGGAAATATCTTTCTGACACACAATGGTTTATGTTGTAGCTTTACTATAGTTACCTGAGGCCATGTTAAGTCTTTTTCTCCCCTTAACCGCAGGCACAGTGGTGGGGGTGGTGATTTACACAGGCAAGGAGCTGCGCAGTGTCATGAACACCTCCAACCCAAGGCACAAGGTACAGTGGGGTGTCCAAGAAACTTAAACATCAACATCTGATCATTGAGTTGCATTCACCTTTTCTATGTTTGATGATTTGGAAAATAAGACATTTAATGCCTAGTATATGACAATATGGGCTTTCTTAGACCTATATATTGCTCATATAGTACATTTTGCGACGACAATAATTTCACCTGATGTACATAATGTTTGCTTTCATTGCGTCTTATAGGTGGGTTTGTTTGACCTAGAGGTGAACTGTTTGACAAAGATCTTATTTGGGGCCCTGGTTGTGGTGTCACTGGTCATGGTGGCCCTCCAACACTTTGCCGGCCGTTGGTACCTCCAGATTTTTCGCTTTTTGCTTCTCTTCTCCCACATTGTGCCCATAAGGTAGGGATTGGGATCTCTGTAAATGATGCCACACGTCATGTCTCATGCAAAGATCTCACATAATCACGTGTTGTGTTATTTGATGTAGTTTGCGTGTCAACCTGGATATGGGAAAGATGGTTTTCAGTTGGATGATTAAGAAAGACTCCAAAATCCCAGGGACAGTGGTGAGGGCGAGTACCATACCTGAACAGCTCGGACGCATCTCCTACCTGCTGACTGACAAAACAGGTTAGCTGCTCCAGAAACTTCAACACTTAAATAAGAAGTTACAACACCCTGTAGTTAAGTTATTCCTTCCATGGGATTTCTGCTTTGTGTTGGGGTCTCTGCTCCCAGAGGCCTGCTTGTTATTGGATCTTTAAATCATAAAAAAAAACCTAAGGTCTCTCATCCATACACACATTTAGAGCCTAGCAGCTCAACCAGTGCACTTCCTCACGCGTGAGGTGTTACACGTCAGATTTACTGCCCTCCCGCCCAACAAAATGGTCAACCATTTCCCCTTTCAGAGTATGATTAGTCCAGTGGGGTCTGCAGGTCAGGGTAATGCATGTACATGGCTCCCAAAATCTTTCTGATTTACTGAAAATAAAATATTTTCAAAGTAGGTGTGAGGATGCAGAGCTTGTGTGTTGCATTGAAGACTTTTTTAGTATGAGACATGCAAACTATGGTGTATGCTTATTTGTTTGATACATTTCAAGAGCAATAAATAGTGTAGTGGTCAAGAGACTCAGGAGTATTTTGTGATTTGTTTTGAATCATGCTGTTATGGTAGTGGATTTTAACAATATTTTTTTCATTTTCTGTTGCTTTTAATTGTTTATTTAAAAAAAACACTACTATGTATCCCTTACCAGGCACTCTTACTCTAAATGAAATGGTGTTCAGGCGCCTCCATCTTGGGACTGTAGCATACGGGATGGACTCTATGGATGAAGTACAGAGCCATGTGTTCAGTGCCTATACACAGGTAAAACATATTTGTGAAGCCATGATTTAGTCTTTATCTTTACAACATTTAGATTATAATAACAATAGTTTGGAAAACGATACAATAAACAGACTTGAGGATTGTTTGAAATACCATCAGTTTGCAGAGATTGTTTTGTTGAATGCTTCCTAACCTCACATGACACTCTTTGTCCCCTTGACACCAAAGGTTAGAGAAGCAGGAAACATGATCAGCCCACAAGTGAAGCACTGACAGGACTTCTTTAATGACACTACCATTAACCCCTGGAACTCAGAGCCTTCTAAAAATAGCTTTGCTACAATGCAAAAGCAAATCACCTATAATTAATCTAAACAGCTGGTTATGTTTACAGCCCACTATCACCACAACTCCTAAAGTATTCTTATTTGTTGCTTGAAATAATACACCCCCCTTGATTAAAAATCTTAACACATTGCAAATGTTCACCTTTGGGGAGACTGTTTTAATAATTTTTAGGATAAGTCCATATCCTTCCAGTGATTTACTGTCTCTTTTGTAATTATCCGCAGCCCAACCATGATCTTCCAGCCTCAAGGGCTCCAGCAGCCACCAAAGTCCGAAAAACAATCAGCAGTAGAGTTCATGAAGCTGTGAAAGCCATCGCTTTAGTCCATAATGTGACGCCTGTGTACGAGTCTAACGGTGTGACGGACCAGGCAGAGGCAGAACAGCACTACGAGGACACCTGCAGGGTCTACCAGGCGTCAAGCCCAGATGAGGTATGACCTAAAGCAAAATCATGTATTTAACTAATATTGATTTTTACTGAAGTTCCTGATATTTCATTTAATGAACTAATGAAAAACAATCATTTTCAAACAATCAAAGGACTAAAATAAAGTCTAAAAGATAAAGTTGAATTGTAGTCTAAAACCCTTTTATGTTATTTAAAGTTACTCTCAAATGTATATTCAGTTTTGTTACATCATTTTGGGTATTTAGAATTCATAGAAAAAGAATGTTTGATTTAAAGATTTAAATAAAGTTTTCTGAAAGAAGTTAAAATGTACAGTTCAGTTAGAAATAAAAGGAAAATAAGTTCCAACTAAACAATACAAAAACAAAAGCTAAAATAAGATTTCATCAGACATTTAATTTGGCCCATATAGAATTCAGATGATAACGTTAATGTAAATAAATGCATATACACCGCAGCCATCTTATTTGAAAGTATGTCCGCTTTAACTTTTGGCTGCTTAAATATTTGGCCAGAGTGCTTTTGTTTCTCAAAACTATTATCTTCAGGGGTTTTTTAATTACTTGATGACAAACTGTTATACAAACTTGCATTCCAGACTTGTGTCCTTGATCAGTGTGAATTCTTTTGAACATCAGGAAAAGAACTGTGGAATCTGACTTGATCCATTTCCTGCTTTATAAATACAGATTTCCTTAATGTGTTCCCCAGCCCACTGCCCTTGTCACAATGAATCTCCTTTTTGAAAGCATGCAACATATGTTAAAGAAGTATGGATTATTAAAACACAGACAGAAAATTATTTCCTTTTATTTGGTTTTTTAACCGTCGCAATGACATGAAACCCTTGTTTTTTCTATACCCAATACCTAAGATGCACATCCTGTTGATTTTATACAGGCGAGCAGATGCAGTTGATTTAACTTCAGCATCAGAAAGTCCAAGAAAATATCTGGGTTTGACTATGGATAGAGTGTCACTGACTATTGATTGCAAATGTTTTACTATATTGCACTATTTGACTTTTAAAATTTTAAGGAAGGGTGTGTAACTTCTCATTTATGTATTCCAGAACAACACTTAACATATCTTACACATAAAATGCATTATTTATGGCTCGGTTCACGTCGGGATCACAATGGATACCATCTTACCCATTTCAACTTAATGGTGCTTCTGACCAGCAAGCTACTGCATCAATCAGTTAATTTAGCAGCAATGTTTCAAAATGCTTCTATTATATGATTATTCTGCTGCGTCAGAGACCCGATCCAAAAATGTCCCCAAAGACAATGTTTGTAGATAGCGTGACTAAGCTTCAAACTTTCAAAAGTTACACGATAATCAGTTTTGCTGATGTGAAAGTAGTAAAAGTAATTTAGGATCAGGCTCTTATTGTCTGATAGTTGGATCACGGTGATCAAGCTTGTTATTCTCAGCTTGGCCCATTTGGCTTCTTTGCTATTAGGTGGAGGATGAATTGGCCATCTGATCCAGGTTCTGGTCTGGAAGTTATTGCCAGACTCCCTCTTTTTTTTTTCTCTATGCACCCACACCCCCTACACACTATGTTATTATTATATAAATGGATGAGGCTTGATATGTCCTTCGGAAGGGATCGAACAGGAACGATGTTTTCATTTCAGAAATGGACATCCTCCCAGTTTATTAATCAATAGCCTTAAGTGCTGAAAATGTTCCAGCTATTGATCAAGACTGAATTGTCACTGTGCTCTCTGACAATCCACTCTTTGTTCAATGTGAACTTGATTGTTTTTTAGCTAAATTTAAGTAATGGTACCTAATTCACGTGATGCTTTCAACCACGAGAAGAATTTGAAAAAAATATCCGAGCACTGGTCATCTCTTTTTTCCCCCCATTCTTATCTTAATAACGTCAGTTATTAAAATTTAGATAAATATTAAAGCACTTCCTCTATATACTGTTGGTGTTTGTTTTGATGATTGTCCATGGCCTTTTCTTTATGGTGTTGATAGGTGTCGCTGGTGCAGTGGACTGAGAGTGTTGGGCTGACTCTGGTAGGAAGAGACCAGTCGTCCATACAGCTGCGGACACCTACTGGACAAATACTGAACTTCACCATCCTTCAGATATTTCCCTTCACCTATGAGAGCAAGAGGATGGGCATTATAGTGCGAGTGAGTGCCAAATTTAATTTATGATTTTTTGCATAATACTTTCCTCTGTTTATATTTGCTCTGGTCAGTTTTACTTATGTGCTAGAAAAGGATTGCACTAATGTTCTATTTTCCACATTTAAATATAGATTTGACATAAGGTTAGAATTGATCTGTGGTGATTTGTTGGTCGTTACTTCCTAAGAGACGTTACATTGAACATAAAAAGACAAATGAAAGTGTATAGAGGCATACTGTCTGAGAAAAAGCTCACCTTCTGACCTGTGACTAACTCGGATGACTAACTAAATTTTTGTTGGCTGAGATATTCTCAGGCAGCCTGGGATGTTTGAATTTGACTACACTTCCTTATGACAATATTTTTAAAGCTATTTCAAACACCTAATGGCTTTAGCATTTCTAGGCAACACACAATCACAATTAACAGGAAACATGGTTCAGGATTATGCATTTGTATTTTTACACTTTTCTCTAGGATGAATCGACAGGAGAGATAACCTTCTACATGAAAGGTGCTGATGTGGTGATGGCAGGCATCGTCCAGTACAACGACTGGCTGGAGGAGGAGGTGCAACTCTTTTTTTTTTTTTTCACAAGACACGACTGCAGACATGGGATATTATTTGAAATAACTCCAGAACTAATTATCTGTCATAACTGCTGGTTCCAAATGTTGTTTTACTCTGTTCCTCAGTGTGGAAACATGGCGAGGGAAGGTTTGAGGGTCCTTGTGGTTTCCAAAAAGTCCCTAACAGAAGAACAGTATCAAGATTTTGAGGTTAGTATATGCAATAAGTAGGGGCTAGTTCTAAGTTTCATGCTCTAGTATGATAAGATAAAGCTATCTGACCTGCATATCTCAGCATATTATGATAGCTAAATAAATCAACCGTGTGATAGATTCCTCTCATCTCTTAGTTATCTGACATTCCACTGACAAAGTGCAAATTGAGATTGATAATTTGGGTGGACAAGTGTTTCTAAATGTCAGTGTGTTCTCAGGTAATCAGACTGACCTCCCTCCAGCCCTACCATACCCCCCCTCCCTCTCCCACAGACACACACACACACACACACACACACACACACACACACA